TTAGGTTACTCATGATTCCCCGCCTCTTCTATTGCTTTAAATATGTCCTGTGAGTGTTAGATTCTCTAGACTGACTTCTATATGTTACTCACTGTTTTCTTTTTGTTTCCTTGATCAATTTTTATCCACAGTCGTCCTGCTAAGCCAGTCACAGCGTCACCAGTACCCTGTTGGCCAGCATTACCTGTTTCCACCTCCCACGACGAGGACGAAGGATTGGGCTTTGGGAGGCTGTATCTCCATTTGTTTCCTTGAGATAAGAGATATGGTAGGAACAATACCAATCATAGAACACATTGAACGACAGAGGATCAAGTGGATCAGACACCTCACTCATATGCCTATCAAGCAACCAGCCCTACGAGCATACACCCTTAGGTACTGTACTCTGGCTGGAGGGCGAGAGGCAGACCAAGAAGACGCTGGAGCAACTCAGTGGCAGACACTCTCAGAGCTCATGAGATATCTCTCCTCCAGGACACTCGTCTTGCTGCTGACAGATGAATGTGTCTCCCTGCAAAGCCTAGCGGCACAAGCGGAAAGAAAAACTAAAGCTAAAACGAAACTCAGTTTTCAACTATTCTTACTTTCAATAAGCTTTGTAAGTGTAAGATTCTTCAAGCTCTCATTCTTAGGTTACTCACAATTTCCCATCCTTCTATTGCATAAAATATGCCATATGAGAGTTAGATTCTACAGGTTCTTTTTCTTAGGTCATCAATATTTTCCACTGCTTCTCTTGCCTCTTTGAGTGATAGATTCTTAACGTTCTCTTCCTTTGGCATCACACCATCTCGCTCGTCTTCTATCGCCTTAAAATGCCCCATGAGTGTTACATACTATAGGATCTCTTTCCTAGATTACTCACTGTTTTCGCCTGCTTCTTTTGCCTTAAATATGTCCTATGATTATCAGATTCTTCAGGCTCGCTTTTCTAGGTTTCTTACTGTTTTTCCCTCTCTCTCTTGCTTTAAAAATGCCCCGTGAGTATTAGATATTCCAGGCTCTCTTTCCTAGATTACTCAGTTTTTCTCTGCTTCTATTAAATATCTCCTGTGAGTGTTAGATTCTCCGGACTCTTATTCTTATGTTACTTACTATTTCCCCATTCTTACATTAACTTAAGCATGCCATTTGAGTGTTAGATTCTCCAGGCCCTCTTTCCTAAGTTACTCACTGTTTTTCCCTTCTTCAAGTGCCTTAAAAATGCACTATGAGTGTTGTATTCTCCTGGTTCTCTTTCCTGCATTATTCACTGTTTTCCCCTCCTTCTCTTGCCTTAAATATGCCATGTGAGTATTAGATCCTCCAAGTATCCATTTGCTAGATTATCACTATTTTCCCCTGCTACTCTGGCCTACAAACTGCTCTGTGAGTGATAGATTCTTTAGGCTTTCCTAGGTGACAAACCATTTACCTCATATTCTGTTACCTAAGATATGACCAGTGAGTGTTAGATTCTCCTGGCCCTCTTTCATAGGTTACTGCTTTCCCCTCCTCTTGTCTTAAATATGCTCATTGAGTCTTAGATACTCCTGTTCCTCTTTAATAGATTACTGTTTTGCATCCTTCTCCTATCTTAAATTTACCCTATGAGTGTTAGATACTCCTGGCCCTCTTTCATAGGTTAGTTTTCCTGTGCTTCTCTTGCCTTAAATATGCCCTGTGAGTGTTAGATACTCCTGACTCTTTTTCATAGGTTACTGATTTCCCCTCCTTCTCGTCTTAAATATGTCCTGTGATTGTCAGATACTCCTGGCCCTCTTTCATGGTTTACTGTTTTCCCCTGCTTCTCTTGCCTTAAATATGCCATGTGAGTGTTAGATACTCCTGGTTCTCTTTCCTAGCTTACTCTCCTGCTTCTTTAAAATACTTCTTTTGAGTGTTAGATTCTCCAGACTCTCATTCTTAGGTTACTCCCCATTTTCCCATTCTTCCTTTGCCTTAAGTATGACTTGTGAGTGCTTTATTCTCCAGGCTCTCTTTCCTTAGGGTTCTTACTGTTTTCCCCTGCTTCTCTTGCCTTCAATATGCCCTGTGAATTTTAGATTCTCCAGGCTCCCTTTTTTAGATTCTGAAAACTATACCATGGATTGACCCAAGGCTTCTGATTGAAACTGAGTAGAGGAAACAGTTCAGAAGCCATGAACATTTGTGCTAGCATAATGTCACATGCCATTGTGATCTAGTCTTTGAGCACACAGGCCTTGTTCAGCTACTGATTACATCCAATTATGTGCTCTCTACCAGAGACTGTAACTAAGGTCTACTCAGCCTAGTTGCCCGCATAAGCCATAGGTTGGCTCTGTGGGTTTCGAAGAAACATAAACGTGCCTGAGCAGGACTCTCCAACTGGGATTAGCTAGCTTAGTAGACAGGTTTGCCCTGAAACAAGTAGCTGGCTACTATATTTCAAACCCTCGCTTATGATGACTTGTGACTGAATAAGCATTCACATCAGGTAGATATTGTTTATATTTGTGAGCAATTACTTGGTAGGTGGGTCTTTTAGGGGATGCAATTTGCATATTCTAGGCCAGATATTGTGAATCACTGATCTGTGGGTCATGAACATACCCACTATCCACTTTTTAGTGACCCATGACGAGTCAGTAAAATCATGTCCAATCAAATTCAGTGATCTTTCAAGTTTTGCCTGCACCTTGGCTGAGTATCAAACATTTGGCAAACTGACCACAATTTTGATTTAAAAAATGCTACTCTAATTAAAAGAGAAAACAATTTACTAAGACAAAAATGGTAGAAGAAATGACAACCGGAAAAAAATCTTAGTTTTTTGCTGATGCGTTTTGTCATTCTACTTTACCAAGGCAAACAATGAAAGCAAAATGTTTTGTTGCCATAGTTACATTAAATCCAAAATTTTAAAAAGAGAGAGACTCATCTGCATAAGCTTCTTTCTGGCTAATGTTAACTTCCTTTATAGTAAAAGTTTGTTTTTTGTTTTCCATGTTGACAATATAGTAAAATTTCCAGAACAATTTCACTGTTTGCCTTGATAAAATCAGAAGATGAAACATGTTGGCAAAAAACACTAAGATTTTTTTCCAATTGTCATTTATTATACAAATTTGTCTTATCCACAGAATTGTTCTGGGAATTTTACTATAAGACAAAAATGTATAGAAAGTGCTTTAATTGCCAGATCATCCATAGTAAATTTACATCCAGGTACTTACAATATTTCACTTTTCTTAGCAGATCTTCTATTATCCCAATGTGGGATATTGAATAACAAATGTAATAGAAACAAAAAGAAAAAGAATCTAAATAAAATCAGCTTAGATTATATGACACATTTGGTGGCGGATGGGCATATTCAACAAAAAATTGAAAATTGCTTTTTTCACTATAAATTATACATTATATCATATCCAAGTATTTTATAAAAAAATAAGAGCCAATTACACAATATTTCAAGCTCAATTTAGGTTTATAGTTCATAACCATGCAATGAGATGAGGTAACATAAACTGTAGATTTGTCTGCAGAATATCATTACATTATTATTACATAATTATAGTGAAATCATTAAGGTTTTTTGTCAAACACATTTTATTTTTGGCCGTATATTGATTTAAAATTTTCACAGGCTATTTTTTAAAAGGAATAAGATCATTCTAAATTTCAGAATTTCACTATTGCCCATCAAAATGACTGGAAGAAAGTGATCTAAAAACAACAATGGAAAAGAGAGGTAACAAAGCATAACTGAAATAGTTCCAGTTTGTTTAACTTAGGAAACTTAACATTGCAGCCAAAGTATTCTAAAATGTTGCCAATAACAAAGGAGAAAATGAAAAATGCCTAACAACAAATTGAATATAGCATCAAAATTTATATTATTTTTACTTGTTATGTAACTAAATACATAATTGTCAACAAAGTTTCTGTAAAACTTGATATTTCCTGTAATAAATTCTTAATAAATATTATTATTTTACTTCAGTGTAAGTTAGTACTAGTTTTACAATTCCTTATGGCTAACCATGAAAAGAAATACTGATCAAAATTGTCTAAAACCTTTAAACGTGTATTTCCACAAAATGATCAAATGTTGGATATGCTCCTCCTCTGCCGAACGTGTCATAAACCCAAAACACATTATTAAAAGAATAATTTTTTTAAATTTAAATTCTCAGCATCTCTCTTTTGTTTGTGTGCCATGTGTAGTCACATCAACGTAAACATAAACTTAGTTCGATGAAGTTGTTTGTTTTGTTTTGTGGCATATCAATTTCAAAGGGTTATTTAATGCTGACAAGATTTTTATTGCTGGTAATATGTTTTTCTTCAAAAATCTATTTCTGGGAATATTTTTCCTTGAAGAAATCGAAAGCTGGTCATATTTTTTTCAAAGAATGTATAACTGTATTGCTGGTATTTTTTTTAAAGTATTGCTGATAATTTTTCCTTCAAAAATTATTGCTGGTAATAATTTCTTTTTATTATAATGTATTTCTGGTATTAAAACCTATTTTTACACAAGTTTGGGTGTTAACTATTTGCCCATAGCTGGGGCCCTAACAAGTGCTACCACCCCGGGTCAGGGTGGACCTGGGAACACCAGCAATTAAGAGGTGGTTCTACACTCCTCAAAACCTCCTGATCAGAGGCCTTGCTGTTGGACGTAGTTTATCGTCATACCCAGGACGCAGATGTAGTTTATCGTCATACTCAGGACGAGGTGAACTCATAAAGAATGTAATGTCTCACACAAAAATGTTTTCCGCTCCGTCATACTTGTTTTTCCTAAAAAGCATGAAAATAAAAATAGATTCATTTGTTCAATGGACCTAAATATCCAGCTGTTAATATGAGGCTACTGTAGGCATATCCCATAGTCTGGTGTTTATTCTATTATCAGATAAGTCTGAAGAGATTTCCTTCATTATTATGATGATAACGATGAATATATGACATCTCAAAAATGTTGTTTTGTTTCTCTTGGCCATAAATAACCTAATACCTTGACTTCATCATAAAACATCAACAATCTTCATTTTGGATTTGGGTACAAGAACTTGCGCTTCTCCTTTCAACACAATCTGGAAGAAAAAAAAATAAATAAATAAAATCTGGGAAAATGAGAACCATGAAAGAAGTGAAGGTCAAAAGTTACTTAGAATAACACAAAATGGGAAGATGTGGAGAGCCATTATTAGTCCTTTCTGAATTAACTTGATACATAAAAGAAGCATGTTTTTTAAAAAATCATTTAACAATGGACTTAGCATGGTGTAATGGCTTGGTTTGGTTTACGGCATATCAACCTCAAAGGGTCATTTAATGCCAATAACTTTTTTCCTGGTAATATTTTTGTTTTGTCAAAAATCTATTTCTGGTAATAATTATTAAAAAAGTATTTCTGGTATTAAAACCTATTTTTACACAAGTTTGGGTGTTAACTATTTGTCCATAGCTGGGACCCTAACAGGTGCTACCACCCCGGGTCAGGGTGGACCTGGGAACACCAGCAATTAAGAGATGGTTCCACACTCTCAAAACGTCCTGATCAGAGGCCTTGCTGTTGGACGTAGTTTATCGTCTTACCCAGGATGTGGATGTAGTTTATCGTCATACTCAGGACAGGACATGGTGTAATGGTTAGTAACCTTGTCTTGCTAGTGAGTTTCATTATCACTCGGTGCTCTATACTTTTGTCCTTGTGTTACATCTAAGCAATGTGTAGTAAATCTATATATATTAAATATCAATTGATGTTATTCCTGTCTATGGCTGCATTCTTCCATTTTTAAGATGGAATCCATTGAAAATCATATATCCAATAAAAAAAATAAAATATTGACAGTTGATGCTATTCCTTTGGCTAAAGGCCTTTCCTCTTTTCTCATTATTCCCCGACCAGAAATTCTTTTTGGCTTTCTACTAAAATCACTAAAATATAAAAAAATTATATCTACATCTACATTATATCTACATGTATCTATATCTATACTTCTAACGCCTTAGCCTAAACTGAAATTTTTCCTCAGTCATATTAGATATGTTTGCTTGGTTGGGAACCACTAGTATAGGATAACTCAGAATTTTGAGCTGAAAATCTTGAGGTCATCTTGTAAGCCACAATTTATGATAATAATAATAATAATAATGATAGTATTAGGAAAATATGTAAGAATTGACTATTAAAATGATCTCAAAGCCATATTGTGCTTAGCCGATACTATTTTAGATGTTTTAATTAAAATGATCTAAGCTGCCTGACTTGAAAAACTGTTACATTAATTTCTCTGAAATATTAGAATATATATAAAATCGTGTAAAAAATATTTGGGATTTCAACCCTAGTGAAAAAGTTTTGTCTGACCATCTCTCAGTTAGTAGTCATTCTTTGATAGCTACTTAAATGTTTTATCCATTTGGCATTCAGATAATTTTTGTCTGAGATAATCTTACTTGATTGGTCTTTTTGTTTTTCAATTTTTCTCTTTCATGGGCGCCATGTTCTTTGGCGGCTTGTTTAGAGACCAAGTTACTGGCCTTTTAAGCTTCTTTCATGTGAATTTCAGTAGAATTTTGAAAATATAAGAATTAAATATTACAGTGGGTGACCAGAATTTTAGAAATACCAAAATGGGGTGTGGTCCAAAATTGGTTGGGAACCACGGCTCTAAACCAAAAATTCTTTTAATTTTAGATTTTAGGCAAGACAAAAAACACTCAATATTTTTAAATATGTATCTCATTTATTGGTCAGGAAAGGTTTTCCTTGTGTTTAATTACATAGTGTTTGTAATTTTTACAAGGTATTTCTATTGATTAGGAATCCTTGATCCTAGATTGTGATTATAAGAAAAAAGAAAAAAGAAAAAAAAAAAAAGGAAAAATTGTCACAAAATAATCCAAGAAGAAAAGAATAATGTCCAGAAAAATTATGTTTACTTAAATTTTTTTTTTTGTTCAAAATTTCACAGACATTTTTGAATAAAAAGATTAATAAATCTTTGCAAAATAATAAATTCAGGGAAAAAGAAAGAAAGAAAAGGAATAGAGAGAGAGTATAAAGAAACAAGAAAATTATGAAAAGAAAAAATAACCACAACATTCTACTCATGTGCACATACAAACACATATACAGGTGTACATACGCACACGCAAAGAAGAAAAAAAATCAGCCTAATACCAACAAAATCTCATGAATTATATTTTTAACAAAATATTTAAAAAATATTATAACTTAATGTAAAAATAACAAAAATGAGAAAATCGTTAGACAATTGCTGATACATCCTGACAAGTAGATCAAAAGATTACAATGTTTATCTAAAAAGTTTGAAGTTAAGGTGCTGAATATAACATTAATCAGTTATTTGACAAATTTTAAAGGGAATAGGATGTTCTAATGTAGCCCATTTGGCATTGCTGATTTGGTCTAGCTGATTTGACATAGAAATTTTTCAGCAGAAGGACGATTAGGCATCAGATTACTTCTTTGTCATAATCAATTTTGTTCTCTCTCTCGCTTAGTAGTCAAATTAGTATTTCATCGTTATATGCTTGAATAGTCCAATTTAAGAAAAAGAGTTATTGGAGGCATTTTTAAATTTAAGAAGAAAAGTAATTTGAGGCATTTTTATATTATATTTCTTTCAGTGCAGCTTCATATTTTTCAGTCGTCAAAGCCTGTTTATTCCAAATGGAAGCAAATATTTTATCAAAACATGGAAGAAAGAGAATGATACATGATGGATAACTTTTTCTTTTTGATGCAATGAACAAGAGAGATCTTGAATTAAAGTTTTGTCGATGTGAACAGAAAGATTGATGTAAAGTGAGATTACATATGAAATTTTTAATTTACATTATTCCATTAGTGTTTTAATAGGATCTTTAATTCCATAAATGAATAAAAAGTTATATTGAAAGTTGGGTGTTTTCAATGCTTTTATCCTTTTTTTTTTTTTGAGGTTGCCTCCAGTCAAAGTCAAATAATCCAATTATTTTTCTGATGCCAAATGGGCCATGCTGAAACGTACCAAACTCTATATTATTGGTCAAAAGAGAAATATTTAGTGATATTCACAAAATAAATCTTTAAGGTTTTCTTCTTGATTTATTATTATAATGCTCTGGATTAATATCCTCCTTGAAATTATCACTACTAGTCACTGGTTATATATATATATATATATATATATATATATATTTGTTATTAATTTCTGGCAAGTATTTACTTTCATTTTAGGTTTTAGTGAGTAGACAGTACAGTATCGGAAATAAATGATCCAATCTTTACTGTCGACTAAATGCTATACAATTGATAGCCTGGGTAAAGTTGAGATAAAAAAAAAAAAAAAACAACTACAAAAAACATGAAAGTAAATACATGTCAAAAATTAATAATAGAAATATTTTGTGGAATTTTTAGTCTAATCCTGTAATCAAAGTAAGAGAGTAGTTTGGTCAGAGGCTTTAGTTCTTACAATATTTTCAATAATTTAATGCTTTTTTTTTTTAAAGTAACAGCAAAAGAGAATATTTTTTTTTTGGAAGATAAATCTCATGAAGCTGCCTACTGGAACCATAAAAATAAAATTATACAATTTATGTTATATCTTGTTATTTCTTTCTTTTTGTTCATTTTGAGACATTTTCTGTAAGCTTTTAATAAAAACAAATGTACTTGAATCACCCATTTTTTAAATGTATATTTTATTATCTTATATATATATATTAATAAATACCCTATGTTAACTGTATGAGTTTTATGCACAATGCAGTCGTCAGGTACTGGTATTATAGGGTATTATGTATATTTATGAATATATACTTAATAGCTCTGTTATTTTGCATTGACCATTGTTTTATTTACACCTAAGGAGATATATATATATATATATATATATATATATATGTATGTATGTGTGTGTGTGTGTGTAGTACTAACCAACCCAATGCCATCCTGTAACAAATACCTACTACAGTTTGTACACAAGAATTAGTAAATTATCATCCAACAAAAAAATCTTTAATAAAGAACCATATGAAGAGGCTCTCCCAAAAAGTGGTTTCAAAAATAAGTTATCTTATTTAACCGCCATAGATAGTACTGAAAGACCTAAAGTAGGATGTAGGTGTAGAAATAGAAAAAGGAAAATCATTTGGTTCAACGACAACACCCCCCACCCCACCCTTCTGCAAACTGTCAAATATTAATGTAGGACAGCATTTTCTAAAATTAATAAATAAACACTTCCACAAAAACAATCTTCTAAGTAAGATTTTCAATAAGAAATCAAACAAAATTAGCTACTCCTGCACTAACATGTTCCAAATTATCATTGTCAGAAATTTAATTTCTGTATCTATCTTTCTATCTCTCTTACTTTCCTTCCTCCTCTCCTTTTCCCCGTGTGCAGTGTAAGAACTGCTGCTGCTGTGTCACGTGGCGAAATCGTGTCTAACGATTGGTCATATGTGATTTTCCCGCTTGTTTTCGACTAGATTAGAGGAATCTAGTCAGTAGTAGCAGAAAAAGGGTGCCGCAGTGTGGAGACGATAAGTCGTCTTGTCTTGCGACGAAAAGGAAACCTGCTTGAAAATAACCTGTTGTTGCTCTGACAAGGAAAACAGTCATAAAAGACCAGTCAAGAATATTTGTCTAAGAGAATTGAAGATAAAGAACAAGTGTGTTCACCGTGTGGAAAAAGCTTATTCTCTAGACAAGTGAAGTCAAGTCTGTTCAAGTAATCAAGTGGATTATTGTTCAGCAACCAAAGAACAAGTCAGTAAAGACTTATCAAAAATCAGTTAAAGAAATTATTGTAAAGAGAATTTACAATAGAACATTCTCAAGGAAGTCTTCTTTCGACAATCGGGTCGAAGAGATAAAAAAAATTAAAATTAAGCGATTGAAAAGCTACCTTCCTTCGAGGAGTTATTTTGTCCTATTGGTGGATGAAATTCTGACGTGAAAAAAGTATGTGAAAAAAAGATCTTCTAAGTTGTCTCTAGA